TCCTGAATTAAGCAGCCGTGTATTCTTGACCAGCTAGAATACATTCGAAAACCTTTTTTTTTTTTATTTTTCTAGTCAGTCTCAGTATGTGTCTCTCGTTCTCTCTTACATTTCTAGAAACTGTACATAACTAATCATAAAATCCTAAGCATTCTTTCTCCAGAAAGAGTATCATATCATGTTAATGAAGTGTCTCTTTCCCCAGAGTTATCTAGGTATCATGCTGCTCTTCATTTTTCTTGAAAGTTTAGTCCAGATGAATTAAAGTGCAAAAAGAAAAAAAGATAATTCCACAGTTTCTACTTCTGTTCCTTATGGTCCATGACCGATTTCTGTCTTTCATCTAAGCCCATGAAAATGTCAAATGACTACTCTTGTCATCTGCAACTTAATACTAATCCTACCTGTTTGGATTCGAAGGATGTTTTGACTTTCTCATCAGTATTGGTTTGCACTTAATTCTGAAATTCACTGACTTCCCTGTTCAAGATCTCCTTTTCACTGTTTATTATAACCAAGATTTTTGGTTTGTTTTAATTTAGTCATGAGAGGGAAGCTAATGAGATGTCTATATACTTCCTAAAGCATTTAGTCCTATGGTACAGCATTAACAGGAATACTTACCTGTGGGCAAATGCTTCATTTTAATGTAAATAATCTGTAATAATAAATAAGTCAGGCCGTTTATCACACTATAGATGGTTTTTTAAAAGGGATAGTGAAAACATTGTGGTTATTTTAGTCTTTTGTCCTGTCTAAGGGCAGTGCTGTTATGATAGTAAAATAAATTCTTTGTGCAAATAAGATGAAAATGCATGTGCTATCATGTGCTTATCCTCACTCCCTACCTCACCCCTACCTGTGCCGGGTATGATGTAATCACAGGGAGAGCAGAGCCCTGACACCCTGTACAGCACCCCCACTACTTCCTACTACTGCCTTTAAAAAACAAATTACAGAGAATATTATAACAAAACCCATACATTCGACACTGAAACAATTAATGTTACATTTTGACTCATTATTTTAATTAAAAACAAAGTCTTTGTATGATTTTTTCAAGTCCAAAGGGAAAAAAAAATCTTGTTGAAGTTTCTTTGACTCTCTTTACATCAAATAGAGAATATTACAGTATCTTGTTTATCATTTCAGAGTTTATTGCTTTTTTCATTTTATTGCATAGCATGTAGATTTCTTTAACTTTTCATTATTTTGAAAAAAGTAGTGATAGTATCATTTAAAAATACATTTTGAAATACTACCAAATGGCTGGTCCATGCAGACTTTTAAATATAATAATATACAAAATAAATATGTAATAATAGAATAAAATAGAATGCCTTTACCCTAAATCAAAAGGTCAGATTTAGAGAGTGAACTTTTGGAGGTTTATAAGCTCTGGCTTATTATTAGCAAGTTTATCTTGTTCTGTGCTAAGGGATGACCCAAGTGACTCTGTATTTTGAAAGTTTTTGTTCAATGTATTATGTATTATGTATTATAACTTGTGTTTGTGGTTTACTTACCTCTTTTTATTGTGACACTCATGATGGAATTTATTAAATTATCCCATTAAAGTCATTAGCAAGACAATAATGGCATAACAGTTTTTATAAAATACTATTTTCAGAAAATTTAGGTAGTACTCAAGTTATCATCTCTTTAAAGTTGCCAAAGCAAGTATTTCCTCTTTCTATTATTTTTTTTCTTCCTATTATTGACAAAAGTCAATAATAATAGTTTAATAATAATAAGTCAATAAGGCAGGTGATGAAGTGTGTCAGGAATGGGTTTTGATAGTTCTGGAGAACAACTAATTAAATGTTGATTTATATGTTTCTAAATCAGACTATTTATTTCACTAGTTGATTAGTATTTAACTTTTTTTATAATCAACTTTATGTAAGTATTAGTATTTACTAGCAGATGTAATGCCATTAAATCCAGAAATTAAAAAAAATTAAAGCATTAAAGAAATGTCCACTAAGCGTAAACATTCAAGTTATATGATGATTACCTGGGCTAATTTACCCCAAACTGTGTGCTAGCCAAATTATAATTAAATCATTTCACTAATTCCAAGGCATACAATAACTGACCTTCTTATTAAAAATGAGTAATTTAAAATTACTTTGTTATATTTTTCACTTATTAAAACTTGAGCATTTTGCATGTAATTTTTAAAAGGGCCCTGAAGGCCACATTGTAAATGCAATATTATATTCTTTTGTATACTCTAATTTAGTGGATAGTTCCCCTGTGGTTGGATGACACAGTGATTGACACATTATAATTACTGGATTTTTACATTTTTATTTTCTAATTCAAAGGGTATGAATTTTTAAGAGTATGCAATATCTATTAAAATTGATATATATAGTGTATACATGTCTGTATTTACAAGTATGTAAATATATACATATGTGTGTATCTGTGCACTACATACTAGCAATATATAGGCATACTAAGCTCCCAGAATATTATCAGTCTGCTAATTTAATAGGCAAGCGTCATTTCTTGCTTTTGTTTATATTGAAATTTTTTCACTTCAAATAAAGTTATTTCCAGTATTGATTATTGATAATTGTTTTGTGAACTATCTTTTCCTGTAATTATTTTGTTAAGTTGCATTACTTTCAAATTTGTAGAAAATCAGTGTATTGAAGATACTTATTTTTTTTACCTGCCATTTAAAGCAAATATTTTGCCAGTGTGACATTTGTACACGGATATTTGAGGATTTTATGTAGTTGAATCGTAATCCTGTGTGTATGTGCGTGTGTGTCTGTGTGTTTTGATTCTCTGTGTATGTGTGTGTTTTGTTTAGTTTGGAAAATCTTTTCACATTTCAAGGTAGTTTAAACATTTGCCTGGACTGTATTTTATTTTATGCTTTTTATCTTTTTAAATTTGTCTTTTTATCTATCTAGAATTAATATTTGTGTATAAGGTTCAGCTCTAATTTTTTTCCAAAGAATCTATTTCTCTTTTTTTCATTTGTTGACTAATTCATCAAATACTCATTGATATTTATGTTTTCTTTTTCATATTTTGTTGCCATATGTACTTGAGTTCATGTCACAAATGTCCACTACATCTCATTCATTTATATTTTGAGTCTTAAATCACTAGCTCATAATTAGGGTTAAATTTTAGAATATATTTTAATATCCCCTAGGGTATTACTATCTCTTCTAATATTTTCTCATTCTTACCAATGTTTATTCAGATAAAATTTACCTAGTTGTTTTTTTTTTTCAGTTTCCTAAACAAATATGGATCACTTTTCACTGAAATTAGGTTAAACCTGTAAATTTGTGTGGGTAGAACTGAACGCTTAATAATTTTATACAATTCAGTCTTTTTAATCAGGAGCACTGTATGACCATCAGAAAAGTTTTACCGTTTTCTGTTTATGGTTATCACACATCTTGCTAATGTTCAAAACTATAATACTTTTTTGTTGCTATTGTGTTGTGAACAGATTTCTTTATTTTTTTTTCAATATATGAAGTTTATTGTCAAATTGATTTCCATACAACACCCAGTGCTCATTCCAAAAGGTGCCCTCCTCAATACCCATCACCCACCCTCCCCTCCCTCCCACCCCCCATCAACCCTCAGTTTGTTCTCAGTTTTTGAACAGATTTCTTTATATCCACTAAGAAATCATTGCTGTTGTATAGAAAATCTAATAATGTATATGCATGTGTTGAAGGGTCTGTCTTGTTGGTGTGCTAGTTTATTAGTGATGGGGAATTCTTCCATTGGGACACACGAATAGTAAGTGTACTGGACAGATGAATGGAGTTTTATTCCTTTCAGTCAACAGCTTCTATTTTCTTAGTATTCTTCTAGTTGAATGTTGTTTTCAATAAATAAATACAATGCTTTGCAAGTAGAGTAGTTCAGGGCCATTACAACTATGGGACAAACTTGATAATGTCTTATAGTGTCTCTTTTGATGTAAATCTGCATTTTGTGACCTTGGGGGCATATTTCACATTAAATCATTTCACTCTTTAGAATTCCCATGTTTTGTGATATTATCAAAACAGAATTAAAAATGATTGAAATATTTTTGCCTTCTCATTTTTGTCATTCATGACAGTAAATTAAGCAATACTAATGATTTATTTAGCGTATTTTCTTAATAAACTAGAAACCTAATGGCTTACAAACTTAAAAGGCTTAACCTGGGTTAACATCTCTCTAGGACATTCTGACAAAAGAACCATAAAGCTATGTATTAGCAGACTCTTTCTATCAGACAGTAATATTAAAATATCTTCAAAACAACTACCATTTGGAATCTTAGCTATCAAAGAAATTATTATGACTAGGTATATTAATTTATTCATGATAGCTTTTTAATACCTTACTATTAAAACTTAGATTTCAAAAACTTGATCTTTAGAAGAAGGAGTACACATTTTTTGCCACATAAAATAAGCATCATTGAATTTATGGTAATTATTATATTACAGCTCATGGGGCATTCAGAATGGGACCACAAGCGAGGGCCAAGAGGATCACAGGTAAGTTTGTTTTCCTTTCCTTTTTTTTTTGCATTTCGTTTCTTAACGTTTTGAGCCATGAGTCTTCTAAAACTCAAGAAATAACAAGTAGAAAGAGGAAGAGGCAAATAATCATGCCATTTGTTTTTATTTAAGTTAGTTGTGATTAAAGTCTGGTTTGAAATCCCAAAGGCAGATGCCTGCGTATTCTTCCTGAGAGCTTTCTGGTATCCCAGATTGGTTGTGTTTACATGAATGTAGATTTTATATTCATCTTGTCTCTGCACAATACATTTTGATCAGCAACCCACTCTCTTGCTTTTATTCACTTCCTTTGATAATTTTTCAGTGTATTTTCTTTCTTTCTCTATCTTCCTGTTTTTGGTTAAATATTTTGAAACATAATCAAAGTAAACCCTGAACTAATTACAGATTTTGTCTCTAAATTAACTGTCTTCGTCTTAGGGAAATAGAAAGATGAAAGGACCTATTATTTTTGAAAAGAAACAAATTCTGAACCTTTCTATATTACCAGATTGTTTTCATTGTCTTACTTTATGTCTTAGGCAAGGGGAAAAGCTTCCATGACGCATTTATGCTTTTTAATGACCTAATTAGACAATGTGGATTTGTTTTGGTTCCATAATTACTTTGCCTGACAGAATAAGGACTGAGTTTTATACTAAGAAAATTCTCTCTCCTCCTAGGGTGTTTGTGAAGAAATATGAAAATCATTTATCTCCTAGTAGCCTGTGTGTTTACCTGTCTGTAGACATGCCAAATAAAAATTAAGTGGGTGGAACATTTTTACCTTTCCTGCTCACACTTTATATTTGTCACTAAAAAAATATGGCTGAAAGAAAGTTGAATATGTAGCACTGCATGTGAAAGTCTGTTGTGAACTGTGAGATTCTCTAGAGTGTTTTATGAAGCTGATGCAGACCGGCACGGTCATCAAGTTGGCATGGTAGCTATCTAATTTAGGTCATGGGAAAATAAAACCCAGTCAATCAGTTGTTTTTCGTTGAGATTTTAATAGCTGTGGTTTTATTGTTGTCCATTATCAACTTGATTAGTAAATAATATAAGCCAGGCCAATTAAGTTGGTTATCCCACAGAATTTATGCCCTGCTTTCCTTCACTCTTATTTCCTCTTCTCCATTCTCTGTCAGCTCTCCATCTGTATACATCTGTAATGTTTTAAATCAGAATTTGCCGCAAGATTGGTAATGAAATGACGACTGTGTGGTAAATGCTTTGTGAGTCCAAACCAGTTAAAAAGTAAAGATGAGCACAAGAAATTCAACAATTCTGATAATTGCCACCAAAAACATTTTGATATTCAAAACATGCCAAGTAACTTCATGCTGACATGCCCCTTTAAAGGGATGTAGTGTTATATATGTTTGTTTAAAATTTGTGTTATTTACTCCTCATATGACCAATTTGGGTTTTTTAAGGTTTTATTTAAATTCCAGTTAATTAACCTACAGTATAATATTAGTTTCAGGTGTACTATATAGTGATTCAGCACTTCCATAGAACACCTGGTTCTCTTCACAACAAGGGCACTCCTTAATCCACATTACCTATTTAGCCCATCCCCCTACCCACCTCCCCACTGGTAACCATCACTTTGTTCTGTATAGTTAAGAGTCTCTTTCTTTGCCTCTCTCTATTTTTCTTCCTCTTGCTTGTTTCTTAAATTCCACGTATGAATGAAATCATACAGTGTTTGTCTTTCTCTGACTTATTTCATTTAGCATAATACTCTCTAGTTCCATCCATATCATTCATTGACTGATAAATGGATAAAGAAAATGTGACACACACACACACACACACACTGGAATATTACTCAACCATAAAAAGAATGAAATCTTGCTATTTGGAACCCATGTGACCTATTTGGATAGAATATATCTTCAAGTTTGAATTGGTCACTCTGTTATAAATTAGAAAAAAAATGTCATAAAGGCACAATATTGCTTGTGTTAAATATAAACGTAAAGAACTCAGAGTGAAAAACTTTTAAATTCTAGATACTGCATGTAGCTAGAAAACTTCAAAATTCCACATACACAAATATTTTTATAAATAAAGTTTGATCATATTTGAAAGCCCAAGATGGTTCTCAAAAGCAAAGGCATTGGAACATTCTTGCATGAACTACCATTATCAGCATCAAGGCAGTCTTAGACCTTTCAACTAGCTAAATAAGTATTCTAAACAAGTGTTCCTTTGTCTCCCTTTGATTCTTGAACACAGCTAAAAATTGCTAAGGTAGAAAGAAAAATACACATCCAAAGCTGAAAACAGTAACTACAACAAAAAACATTATTCTTTGGAAATTTCAGATAACAAGTATTAGGTAATAATTTCTTACCTAATTTTGATTGCCCACTGGGGAGAAAGATACTGTATTTATGTTTTATATCATTGATCCCTTATTTTGCTATTATTTTCTGGGGTGATATGTCAAAAGCCTTTTAACCATTTCAAAGGAATTTCAGACAGTCTTCATCTGAATACAGATTTCTTAATAATTTACTAATACTCAAATCCCATCTCAGTTTAGTTTAATTGGAGACACTTAGTAAGTTTTTAAGTATTTACAATGTATACACACTGTGGCAGATCTAAGTCTGAGGAAAAACTGAGTTGTCAAGGTTACTGTGTTCCAAGAGCTCACAAGTTATATTTGGAAGTAGAACAATATTTGAATATATAATTTTCATATAAGGCAGTCTGGTAAGTGTAAAATTAACTATATAAACAAAACATGATAGGAGTTGAAGTGGGACAGAGTATTAATCCCTAGTAAAACTACTTCTTGGAGCTGATATTGGAGGTGAGCCTTCAATGCTGGATAAGATCTTAGAAGTACAAAGGGAGGAGAAGGAAAAGCTTGAGTAAGAGTCTGAACTGGCAGAGTATAGGACATGTATGGATATATGTGAATTTTCTTTATAACTTCTTTGTAAACATTTATTGGTTAAGGGCTGTTGCAGGAACTACAGCAAAGGAATGATTCAGAGAATGTCACGCATTATTGATTAAACATAAGGAAGAAGTAAGGAGGGTCAAGATGTTGAAATCCAGTACTTGAGGAACTAGCACCATTCACATAGCCCAGTTTACAGAGAAGACGATGAGTTTGGTGTTTGTGATGTTACGTGAGAACATTTCCACAAGGATATTTCCACAAGGAAATATCAGACAACTACTTGAGATACCATTCTGGTGCTCTGTAGTCAGATTAGAGCTCTGTAATCAATTGAGAATGCTAATCATACATGTGATAATTGAACTACATCAGACATAGATCCTAGAGGAAGAATATTAAAAGGGAAAAATGAAAGAAAGACTGATTCTTGGGGAAGGCTAGTTGGAAGGGCTGGGATGAGCCTGGGGAGAAAATTAAAGCATGCCTATGTTCCCACTAGGAGACCATTTGAAGGAGAAATGATGCAGAATCCAAAGCAGCATACTATGAAGTTACACTAGGAAGAAAATTGAGACAACAAACAAAGATTCATGGAAACAAAACAAAAACATAGGAAATACCTTTCAATATAGTGATTAGCAGGACATTAGCGAGCTTTGAGAATGCCATTTTGATCGAGAAGGGATGGAAAGCAGAATACAGAAATTAAATGCAACTATAAGATAGAATATTCTCTTGGAGTTTTGTTTTAGAAGAGAGATGGCAGCAGAAGTGAGTGAAATTTCTTTTTATGCCACAGTGAGATGTGTGTCTCAACAGTTATTAATGGCAAAGAAAAAAGAATCTGTGTAGAGAGGAAAATAGTGAAAATTCTTGACACTGGCCTGTTTAAGGACTGGAAAAATGGTGTGGTTCAGGGAAAGGAATGTACGTTCTTCCAAAGTGGCCCCTTTGGCACCTGTTGATGTGCTTTTCTTACATGCCATCAGTCCCCTCACCAAACCCCACCATTCACCCTTTAGTCAGAAAACTGACCATGTTCTCAAAGGAACTATTGGGTAGATTCACCAAAAAGCACACATAAAGAAGTTTTGGAAAGAAAGTAGAGGCATCTATACCAGAGCAAGGTATAAGAAAAAGAGACAGATAGTACAAAGTAAAAGAAATACTGTGAGCCTAATGATTTCAGCTTTCTTGGTAGACAAAGGGTGCAAGAAGTTGATGATTAATAGTGGAACATCTTGAACGGTAGAAAAATAGATGGAATATATTTGTTTTGGGTATCTAAGAAAAGGGCACTGGCTTGATGTTTGAGTATCAAGAAGTACCTAGTAAAAGCAGAGGCATTTTCTGTGAGTGGGTAGCCTGTAAGACAAATTTTCACCCCTTTTGTGTTGATTTACAACACCACCAATATATGCCAGGCACTTTCTTTAGCCTTTAAGGGGTCAAAACTGAACTGAACAACTTTGGTCTTCAAGAAGCACACAGTTTTACCTGAAGTCAGCCTTAGCTAGAGGATAAAAAATAATCAGCTAGTGGTTTCTTTTAATATTTTTATTTATTTTTGAGAGAGAGAGAGAGAGGGAGGGGGAGGGAGGGAGGGAGGGAGAAAGGGAGAGATAGCACAAGTGTGCAAGGGAGGGGCAGAGAGAGAGGGAGACACAGAATCTGAAGCAGGCTCCAGGCTCAGAGCTGTCAGTGTAGAGCCCAATGTGGGCTGAAACTCGTGAAGCCTAAGATCCTGACCTGAGTAGAAGACAGATGCTTAACCAATGAGCCACCCAGGTGCCCCCCAGCAACTGTTGAGAGGATTAGTCATTAGCAAGATAGAGTTAAGCTTATCTTGGATTTCCCCCCATGTGTTTATTACTAAGTAAAAGATTTTCTCAAATTTGATGTGATTCTCCAAAATTCTATCATGTGTGCACTATTACAGATAATAAGGGGTACCCTTCAAATATTTATCATATGGAAAAATGTGTATCTTGTTTCAAGTAAACTGTACCACTTAATTGCATATGACTTTTCAGACTCAATAATAATTTAATTCAAATTGATTTATTGCAGTAAT